ATCACAGTGACTTTCACTTGGGTCCTAAAGACATGAAATCACAATGACTTTCACTGGGGTCCCAATGACATGAAATCACAATGACTTTCACTGGATCCTAAAGACATGAAATCACAGTGACTTTCACTGGGGTCCTAAAGACATGGAATCACAGTGACTTTCACTGGGGTCCTAAAAACAATGGAATCACAATGACTTTCACTTGGGTCCTAAAGACATGGAATCACAATGACTTTCATTTTGGTTCTAAAGACATAGAATCACAGTGACTTTCATTTGGGTCCTAAAGACATGGAATCACAATGACTTTCACTTTGGTTCTAAAGACATGGAATCACAATGACTTTCACTTTGGTTCTAAAGACATAGAATCACAATGACTTTCACTTTGGTTCTAAAGACATGGAATCACAGTGACTTTCACTTGGGTCCTAAAGACATGGAATCACAGTGATTTTCACTGGGTTCTAAGACATGGAATCACAATGACTTTCACTTGGGTTCTAAAGACATGGAATCACAGTGATTTTCACTGGGTTCTAAGACATAGAATCACAGTGACTTTCACTGGGTTCTAAAGACATAGAATCACAATGACTTTCACTTTGGTTCTAAAGACATGGAAACACAGTGATTTTCACTGGGTTCTAAGACATAGAATCACAGTGACTTTCACTTGGGTTCTAAAGACATGGAATCACAGTGATTTTCACTGGGTTTTAAGACATGGAATCACAATGACTTTCACTTGGGTTCTAAAGACATGGAATCACAGTGAAAAACTTGGGTTCTAAAGACATGGAATCACAGTGATTTTCACTGGGTTCTAAGACATAGAATCACAGTGACTTTCACTTGGGTTCTAAAGACATGGAATCACAGTGATTTTCACTGGGTTCTAAGACATAGAATCACAGTGACTTTCACTGGGTCCTAAAGACATAGAATCACAGTGACTTTCACTTGGGTCCTAAAGACATGAAATCACAGTGACTTTCACTTGGGTCCTAAAGATATGGAATCACAGTGACTTTCACTGGGGTCCTAAAGACATGGAATCACAGTGACTTTCACTTGGGTCCTAAAGACATGAAATCACAATGACTTTCACTGGGGTCCCAAAGACATGAAATCACAATGACTTTCACTGGGTCCTAAAACATGGAATCACAGTGACTTTCACTTGGGTTCTAAAGACATGGAATCACAATGACTTTCACTTGGGTCCTAAAGACATGAAATCACATGA